ATTATATACACACTATAGTTGGGCAACAAGTCAAGTCAAGTTCAAGTTGTTCAAGTAACTCAATTTTGACTTGACTTGTTACTTGAAATTTTTTTCATGACTGTTTAAACTTGACTTGATACTTACTTGTTTTCAAAAAATTCATGCAAATCAACTTGATACTTGCTTGTTTTCAAAAAGTTCGTTCAAGTCGACTTGATACTTACTTGAAATGTCTTCAAGTTACTTACTTGAATGGACTCGAGTAGTGAAATTAAAGGTTTTTTTTTCAAATAAGTCCTGTCGGGATATTTATTGGTTGATGTTAGCATATACTGATTTCGAAAGAATATAGGTTGAAAATGCCATCAAAAGTGTGGGATCACTTCAAAAAAGATTCAAATTGGTTAGCACTTTGTGCTTATTGTGGTGTATCTTACAAGTTTCAAGCAATCACAAGCTTGATAAAACACCTACAAAAAAAACACCCCCAAGTTTTAGAACAAAAAGAAAGCTCAGAAACTTGTTCAAAGGTTTCTGATTTCTTCAACAGAAAAAGAATCAATTCAAATCGTGATGCCTACTGTTTCGATTTATTGATCAGAGGAATAGCTGGAGGTCATTGCAGTTTAAGACTTGTAGAGAACAAGCACATGGAAATGCTCTTTGATCACTTAGGTATTAATTTAAGCTGGAAAGTTTTATACTCATGATATTTTATAGGTTTCAAACTGCCAAGTAGAAGACATACCACAAAAGCCATCCTTGGAAAAGGACAAGAAATTCTGGAGGCGAATGTGAGGAAGTTAGATGAAGCATCTAATGTGAGCTTGTCTTTGGATTGTTGGTCTTCGAAGAACGCACGCGTTAGTTTCTTATGTGTTGCTGCGCATGTTATAATGCCGGAGCGATATTTTAGAGAAAATTATATCTTTGATATAATTCCACTCTCTGGAGAAAAGTAAGCTTTTCCGTTGCCATGTTTGTATGGTTAACGCATCGTTTCAGACATACTGCAGAGTTTATTGAAGATAAACTTGTCAAATCAATCCCTATATTGGAATTGTCAAGATCCCGTACGCTGACCGTAGATGGTGCTTCGAATTTGAAAAAGATGTGTGAGGAGATGACCAAAAGAAGGCAAGCTTAATTTGACAATATTCGAGCGTAGTTATGTTCAGGAATATGTGTGCCGCTCATCGAATGAATACTGTTGTGCAATTGCTGTATAGCAACACGGAAGTTGATCGGCTTTTAGAAAAAGTCAGGCTCTTGACATCGAATATCAAGAGAAGTCATCAGAACAGGGAGATATTCAAAAAGTATGTTGTCTCCCGTTGATCTGTAGAACAACAGTTTTTCATTTCAGAATCTGTGAAGAAGTAGGAATAACGTTTTTGGAACCACTCACTGACATGAAGACTAGGTCGTCATCCACATACCTCATGCTGAACAACTTCTTCAAAATTGTGAGTTTAAGATCTTCAATGTTCAATTGAAAACTGAGTTTTAATAGAAAGCTGCGTTGGATGTATATTGCGTTAGGAAAAAGTTGGAGCTCTTAACCAAAAATGAGCATGAAGTGCTGAAGACTATCAGCGATGTGTTGGAGCCTTTTTATAAAGCAACGCTTTAAGTATGCACTGGTTACGAATCAGTTTGCGCCATCATTCCGGTATACAGAATGATTATTCTCTCCATTGCTAAGTACTGGTATTAATATTTTCCATCATAATATTGCTCAATTATAGAAAAGTAGATAGCACATATGGCGAATCAAGAGAGTTGCTCACATCCTTAAAATGTAGATCTGAGACTTACTTTGAACCCACGATCAATGAGGACTTCTATCGTCATGCGACTCTCCTCGATCCGCGATGGTCTTTTAAAAATAGCCTGTTCGATGATAGCGAATGGTTATCTATCAGAATGAGTTTTCTAGCAAAACATGCATTACCACTTAATGATACTCACTACAGCACTGCTGCTGAAGAGAACTCTTGTTGGGACATTCTCGGTCCAGCTACTACTGAACAGAATGGCAGTTTAGAAATAAGGAAATGTACAATTAATGATTATATAATATTTTCAGATTGAGCTTGATCAGTTCAAAGCTGAACTTAATCGTTTTCGACCGTCTGTCAAAACATCTCCAGCATCTTGGTGGGAAATGCATTCTGGGGTTTATATAAAACTGGCAGGAATTGCCAAGGAGTACATGGTCATACCCGCAGCAAGCATTGATTGCGAAAGATTGTTCTCGGTAGCGGGAATATTATACAATAATCAGCGCAGGTCTAGGTTAAAAGGGGAGACTGCGAAGTCTTTATTACTTCTCGCAACATCACATTCTGATGTCAGGTAAGCGACATATTTTTCGAACTATCATCACAATATGAACTTTTAGAGAAAACTATTGGACAGAAAAGATTGATCATGAGCAAGGGGTTCTTGAGAATCAAAGTTATTCCTCATCATCTGACTCAAGCGAAGACGAGTTAACAGTTGATCCTTCAGAGTTTTCGGTCGAGTTATGAAAGTATTGTGGTATCGGTTTTGGTTTTGTTGGATTGGTATGGAAATTTGTTTTTTGGATTCGTATTGAAAATTTGTTTGTGGTTAAGGTTATGAGTAAAACTTGATTACTTGAGTGAAAGACCGACTTGAACTTGAATTTTTAAAGAGTCGAGTGACTTGAACAACTTGGACTTGAAAATTAAAAAATAAAGCAGACTTGATCATGACTTGACTTGAGTTTCACAAAATAAGTAGACTTGGACTTGACTTGTTACGATTTTTTACTTGTTTGC